TACCTCTTCTTCAATCTCTTTGAAACAAAATACATGGATGCAGCACCACCATACTTGACGGTAAATCTTTCCGTAAAGCCGAAATTACCTGTCCATAGCATAAATAAGATTAGACTTGTGCAACAGGTAAACCACGGAAAAAATTGCTCTAAAAGACGAGCTTCAACTCACATAAAGGTACACAACATAGAAAAAGACCTGCAATCGGACTATGCTAAACAGAGATCAAACGGCAGCCTACAAAAACTCCACCATTTATTATTCCAAGCTGAAATATTATTTATGATGAGCTGAGGAGAGTTGAACCTCCCCTGGGGATCAAGCAAAGAACTCTTTAAACTATCAGTATAAGCACCACTAATGTTTTCTCATGTCCATTAAGGTTCAGGTTCTGATACTATATCGAGCCTAGCTTAAATACATAAGAATCAACAAAACACAGGAGCAAGGGAGAAGCTATGAGCAAGACAAATTCAACTACAGAGAACAGCCATGACTGGTAACACACTGAGCAGTATACATCTAAGTTGCTCGGACATGGGTGCGGGTGTCCGACATGGGTAGGGATCTAGAGGTCGGATACTTTGAGATGTAAATTCTAAGATTCGGGGATATGGATCCTAGTACGGATACGGTTGAGGGGATGCGACTAAAAATAATTCAATAAAATAAATAAATAAATAAATAAATAAATATATATATATATATATATCTAAATTATGAGAAATTTTGTGGAATAATTACGTATAGCTTGTAAAGTGTGAATTTCTTTTTTATTCTCAAGTTGTAGATAAGTAAATGATTGATTTCCTAGATAAGGCCTAGATAAGGTATGCTATTTTCTTCAAATTAATCCTAGTTTTGATTCTGATTTCGGGAATCAAATTGTATCTCGTCTCGAATTTTTCCGTCCGTTGTGGTCAAAGTACCCAAAATTGTTTGACCAGATCCAGTACGGATCCCATACCCACATCCATACTAGTGTCTTGTCGACACGGGTGCGGCACCTAAACTGCCATATCGGAGCAACTTAGGTATACATTTGCTTCTTCACATATTTTTACTTTCACATACAAACTGGGGAGTGTTTTGCTTTTGGTCAGATTTATAGAGGACGCGACCTCGTATAAATATCTTGAAACAACAGCATTCTATTTCACAAATTTCCATCTTTAATTCTTCAGACCAAGTTTATAGTGCACAATGTAACACAACATATGTAATCACCATTCCAGTTGTAACAGAAGAACAGAAACTCTTAGGCGGGCCGCGGGCCAACATCAAGACTAGCTAATAAGCAACAAAGTATTACCGACATCAACTCTAATTCTTTATCCCAAACTTAACTAACTGAAATCTTTTAAGACGGATAAACACCAAAAGAGAAACAAGATTTTTTTCTACACTAATTAAATACTCACGTGCATCATAGTTTTACTGCCAAATGCAGAAGGAAAACTCCACATCTTGATTTAAGGCTACTAGTATGAAAGAAAGAAAAGCACCATAAAGCAAATATTTCTTCATGAAACATCTTAACATGTGGTCACTGCAATCAAATCTTACCATGACTAGTGATGTACTCGAATGATTCAAGAGCTTCTGAGGTAGTTCGATATATGTTGGGTGCTAAGACGTGCACCAAGTGATTATCCACCCACCTACATTTGCAAGAATCGCGATTAGTGGATAAGACCCTATTATGTAACAAAAAGCAAAAGCTTCATCGGGAAACAACGGCTAATTTCCTATGTCACTTACAGACTCGATAACCTGATTACCAAATATCACTTATCTCGAGAGGAAAATGCTACGACACAGTCATAAAACTATCATAGATAGAAAGAGAAGTGCATACTTGCGCCATTTGCTTTCTTCATCAGCATCGGAGGTAGAATCAGCAGAACGCACCTTCTCGAATAATTTATCAATAATATCTATAATCCACCAAAAGGGCAAAAGAAACATGTTTAGACATAACCATAAAAGAGATGAGTATAAATCAGGTGTCCTGGAATCCATTTCAATCCATCTTCAATGCAAAATTGCATCCATAGATATAGTTATCTTTAGTCACTCCAAATGCTTACTTCACAGTTGAGCTTAGACGTTGGATAGGATTTCAATATATTTTACTAACAGTTGAGATGCATTTTACAATCAGCAGTGTATAGAAACTAAAAAGGGCAGCCCGGTGCACAAAGCATCTCGCGTTCACATAGGGTCCGGGAAAGAGCCGCACACCAAAGGGTGTGATGTAGAGAGCCTACCCCAGCTACTTCCATGCCTCAAACCCGTGACCAATAGGCCACAAGGAGACAACTTTACTGTTTCTTCAAGGTTCCCCCTCACCCTAAAGCATAACATAATTATCATAAGCAAATTTACAGCTATCATACAGTGACAATGTAATCTAACGGTGCATTTTTACCCAAAAAATTGAAGCAATTCTAGGAAATCAGATACCTGATGAGTCCAGCATAGTTTCACCATCAACTATCACAATAGGGACTTTCTGGTAATCAGACCACTTGATTTCTTTTCTGCTGATGGGGTTGACCTCAATGATCTTGTATGGGATGTCATAGTAGTCAAGGAATGCTGAAAAGATAAAGTTCCAGGGTAAAGGACTATGGTGCGTACCAGATAATAATAAGTAATAGGGGGAGGAAGAAAAGAAACTATCGCAGAGATAGAATCATAAACGTTAACCAGTATGCATTACGACTATTCAGAGATATACATTGTCAAAAACAAATAAATAAACCTTAAGAAAACATTTGATACAATGCCACACAAAGAAGCCTTCTAAGTGGAAAAGGGTAGATTGGCAGGCTCATAATCCACCGAGTTTCGAACCATGCCCCATTGACCTTGGGGATTTCTTTGTTATCAAAAGTTGTTAAGCGATTGTAAAATTCCAACCAAAAATACAAGAATACATCAAATAGTTTAATGAGGTGAAGCATATTGTGGCAACACTACCATGTTAGTGGGAACTAGAGATACTTGATACTCCTTCCATTCAAGTTATTATGACAATATTTTCTTATTAGTCCATTCCAAAAACAAATTGACATATTACTATATTCCGCAGAATTTAACTTTAAACTTTTCATCTTACTCTTACTGAGAAGCTTTTACAGTCACACAAATGTTATGGCATGTTTAAGACAACAAAATTCAAAGGCCTTCCTTTCTTTATTAAAAACTATGTGCCAAGTTAAGTTGAAACGGAGAGAGTATATTGTTTATGAAGACTTTAAGAATCTATAACAACAACAACAACAACAACCCAGTAGGATCCACAAGTGGGGTTGGGTAGTGTGTACGCAGACCTTACCCCTACCGGAGGGATAGAGAGGCTGTTTCTGGAAGACTTTAAGAATCTATAACCTACAGAATAATTATCTAATCCTCAGTGAACTATCTCCAAGCTATACTCTCATTAACAGATCACAGATGAATTCAGTAGGCTACCTACACTAGTACACTAGACTTGATTTTCTTACAAAAATATCTAGTTTATGTTTTAGAGAGGCACATCAGCAAAAATAAGTATTAAATAAAAAATAAACAATCCACAAGACAGAAATAGCGAAAAAAGTATATACCTTTAACCTTGTTACAGAATGGACAAGCTTCATACTGATAAAGAACAATATCTTTAGGGCGTAATTCCGGTGGCACTGCTTCTTTAGCGTGGACTTCCTCGGTCAACGCGGTAGCCGCCACCGAGAAAAGCATTGTTCCGGCGACAGCGTGAGCGGCGATTCTAGTTGGTTGATACCAATTAGACCTGACAGAGGATTTGCTGCTGCTCGTGCTGTACCGAGCCACAGTAGACGTCCTGTGCTGCGGAACCGTCCATGGCCCGGCATATGGCGGCGATTCCACTAATCCTCCTCATTCCGGCGATCTGAAATTCGGAAAATCTATGGAAAATGTAAAACTTTATTCTATGGGCCTTTGTGGCAACTTGTAAACAACTCGATTTTGGGTTTACTAGGGGTTTCAACCTTTGCCACGTAAGCGGGTAAAAATGGGTCCCAGAACAGTCGGTTCGGGAAAAATGTTGGCCCAACTAGCCCTTTTTGCATATGACTGTTTGCAACTGGACAACTAGCCATGGGAATTTGGAAACTGGCTGGAAAAAAAAAAGGGAAAAGAATCGAAAGGAAAAGGGAAGAAAATTTTCCTTTTTGTTTGGTTTATTGGAAAAATATTTTTTTCCTCATGAATTAATTTGTTTGTACACAAGAGCAAATGAGCATTGCTATATTTTATTCCTTGCATATACCAAAATTACAGATATGAGCCGCTTTTGCTAAAGCTCGAGTAGTTTCTTAAAAACTCACTTCAGATATGAAACTTTGAGTATTGAGAGATGCTCTTGTTATTCCCAATAAGACGACTCGATAACAGATCGCTTCTTCAAAAGTGCGCTTCATTTGTTCTGCTCGTAATAATTTAATACGTTCTTCGGGTAGAAAAATATTAGACATACTTGCTTTGCTATATTTTATTCATTACATATACCAAATTGGAGATATACTTACGTGTTATTTGTTTGTATTTAAAATCAAATTAAGTGCTACCAAAAAATAGATATATCGAAAGCTAGACACTAGAACTGGTTAATATTTAAAATTTTGCAAAAAAATGGCAAAATATTAAAATTCAAATCACTAGCCAAATTTTAATTAGTTCGTAACTTGAAATTTTGCAAATGTCATGTATTTTTAGGGACAAAAGAAGCATATATACATAAATTTATAACCAATTAAATACTACTTCTAAATTTGTTTGCTAATTCTAATTGGTCTTTACTTGCTTTCCAATAAGAAATGGGCCATAAGTGATGCCATCCGTCTATGCTAAGGAAAGGGATATTACCATAAAAAACAAAGGGCAATAAGGTAAAATAAAAACGCGCTTTAAGTCGGTCACTCATCTGCCTATAAATACCCCTTATGAGGTTCCTTAGACACATTATTCATCTCCGCCTCTCTCAATAAAAATTTCGACTGCGTCGGGTCTAGGGTTTCCAGAAGAACTTCGATTTTTTTGCGATTCAATCAAATTTTTCTTTTTTATCGTGCCAAATCGAAACAAAATCTGAACGCTACCCATCTATTTCTTACGATTTGTTTTTGTGTTTTCGTTAAAGAGAGGAGGGGGAATTTCAGATCTGAAATCGAAAGCGAAATCGAAAAGGGGTTGTGCTTCTTTGTGTATTGAGGATGTCTCGGTGCTTCCCATACCCACCACCTGGCTATTCGCTGAATACAGCAGCCAATAATGAAGCCTTGATCGAATCGATTAAGGTTTGTTGAAACAAAGAGCACTTGATTTATGTGTTTATGCTCTTGTCCCTGGCTGATTTTTTCGTCGTGTTGCTAGAAATAATTCAGCATATGAGGGCTTGTTTAAATCTGATTCTATATCATGTAAATCTCCTAGGAAATAATGTTTCATTGTGCATCTATGAACTTCGATTTAGGGTTTCATCGTTGTAAATAATTTATATGTCTCAGTATAACCTGGTTATAATTGGATTAGTTTTAAGGATATGATTAATATTACGACATATATCATATGAAATCCGGATAATTGGATGCCCGCTGATAGTATATCTCCTGCCCATGGATCAAGGATGAGAGTTGGAAAAGTGTAGGGACACTTTAGGGTTTAGTGCATTGTTTAAGGGAGAAATTAGAGTAATCTTGTATCCAAGTCTTGATGGATAGAGTTATCCGGTACCTGTTGCTGGTGGGAGGTGTCAGGTATCCTGTATAATTAGTCGAGGTGCGCGCAAGCTGGTCCGGACACCACGATTATGAAAAAAAAAGACTATGTTATTGCAGGTTTGATATTTGATGGAGTGGGATTTTCTGTGACTAATGGTTTATACTAATGAGGGCTGCAATTTGTTTTCAAAACTAATTTAATATGGGATTTTTTGATGGATAAAACTACTTTTTGAGGTACTCTTTTAAAATCATTTTTTGGTGGAATGCGCAAAAATTTTCACAACCTAATTATAAAGACAACTATCCTAATTGTAAATTTCAAAAATATCCATTTGGGTCCAGCTCCCGCGGAAGCGATATTAGGCCTCTTTCCTGCTTAGACTTCTATTTGTTTCCATCAAATTAAGTTTAAGTGAGATTGTCATCTATGAAACAACTCATGAGCTACTTGGTCGTGTTTTTAGGTATTCCCTGTAATTTTTCATTACTTTGACATGACCACCTAATAAAGCATGAATACTGCACATTTGTCTACATTTAACTGTATAGTTCAAATGATTGTTTTAGCATCTTCAATCATAGGAGTGATAAATGACACCTGACAGAATAAAAGCGTATCCTTGTTTTGTGTTAAGTCCACAATGCTAAGTGCTTGTGTATATGGTGTTCAGTGAACATGTTATTCTTTAATTTGTCCATGCTTTGGTGCTTTCTAGCTGAATGGGGGTTAGCCTCATCCCTCATATCCCTTTGCTAGAGTGTTGTATGATTGGACTTCTTTAGAACTTTTTAAGCAACTCAATGTAAGACCAGGGGCCAGGTTGTGTGATAAATTGAACTAGCTGACTGAGTGCTGCGTTACTGTATTCTGTCATATTGATGCAAGTATATGTTGTGAACCCAACAAATGTTTGGTACTACACACATGCCTCTTTGATGTAATAAAAGATCAGTGAGATCTTAATTGTGCAATATCCTCGTGGTGATGCTGTATTCATCTTCTCTCTCCCTCTATTCTGAACTTGTTATCCTCTGGTGCTCTAAAGCTCCAAAGGGAGAGGGAGATAGCTAAAGCAGAAAAGAAGGAGAAGAAGAGGGAAAAGAAACAAAAGAAAGGAAAGAGAAGAGAAGAGAAGAAGGCAAAGGAGTCAAGTAATCCTGGATTTGACAAGGCCACTCACGAGTCCAAAGGAATGTACTTGTTTAAATGTCTAGAAGACGAAGCTGAACAGTTGGAGAGGAGCAATCTCACTGAGGAACATGGACAGGCTGTGTGCTCACAGAATTCCAGCTGCTCATCTGACAGCACCCAGAATAGCAATAAAAGGAAGAGGCCTGCCTCACCTTCACATGGCAACATACAGGCACATGGTGAGTTTATTTTACTTTTATTACCGTACTTGTAGTTTGGTCTTCTGTTCTTTTTGTTGCTTATGTTTTTTTTAATTATTTGCTTGACAATAGGTAGCATTATCCGCATTCGTTTGTCTAAAAAAGGTGGGCAAGGTGAGATGTCAACTGCCAAGGAGAAGCAGTTGCGAAAACCAGCCCAAAAAGATGCAGAAGTTACAGTCAGGACAATTGCAGAGAGAGCCAATCCTTTGCAGAAAGCAACCAACAATCAATGTTGTCCGTCCCTATCAGTTTTAGAGCCAAGTCCATCCACGTCTGGGTGGACAGACTGTGTTGCTGTAGACAAGACGGCAACTGCCTTATGCTCCAAAGAGCATGAGAACAGCATAGAATTTCAGTACAAGAATTTGATAGAGAACTGGCTTCCGCCAAGTCTTCAAACTGAGCATCTTGGTGTTGACGATGAATCGTGGCTGTTCCAAAGAAAACCTAAGCACACACGAGTGGGAGAAAAAAGTGTGGTCAGCAAAGAAGTCAGCAATGATTCAACATGTGGAAGCTCTGCATTATGGCCACGGGCGCAATACATTCATGATGCTGAGTTGTATGCATTGCCCTTCACAGTTCCCTTTTGAGTCATTTCTAACTGTGTATAGTTAGTTTTTAGCTCGATATACTGCGCAGGGAATTTTGTAGCTCTTCTCTGGGAAGCAGCTGTGGTTTAGCCTGGAGTTTAGGCACACAGATAAAAACTTTAATTCTTTTTACTTTCTCCAGCGAGTTACATCACTTTCTTAGAGTTCTTTGTGCTGGTTGTCTTATTTTATGTACTTACTGGCTTTTACTACAGAGCATTTGTAAATGAAGTTAAAAAAAAGAAGAGAAAATATGGACACATTTATTAAGGTTGAGGACGATTTTGTGCGTGCTATAGAACGCTGCTTATTATATTGTGAACCTAGCGAATTGGAAAATATTCTATATGTGAACGGTCAATACTGCAATGAAAGTTGACTATTTAATTTCTTCTGAGTTCCAATGAGTTGGATTCTTCTAAAAACAAATATGTCTTTTCTATTTCGTGTCTTCTAATTCTGGCTCAATTCCGAAATTATACATCATTGTTTCTTCAATCATTTATTTCTCCAATTGCTATAAAGCGTAACTTTGAAAGTACGACGTGGTTGAATTAGCAAAATATTCATCTATTCTGATTAAATTCTGCTGGGTAATTCTGGAACTTAAGATAGATAATTTACATTAAGTAATGGCGGCCTTCCACTAGCTGTAGTTCTAGTTTCCTTGTAAAAATGTTTGAGCCATGAGATGTTTGGGGCAATAAAAAGAAAAATAACAGCAAAAGGTAGAACTGGTAAGGTTCCAAATAAATTCTTCTTGGTAGGTTGCAGCAGAAGGAAAAATTGATACTTCTAGGATAGCTGCAGCGAATAGTGATGGCTATTGGGAAAATTGTCATGTGTCAAAGAAAGCACACAAAGAAAATACCAAGATATTAAGTATTTTATATTAATTATTTGCGATCATGTGTATAAAATGTGGTAGTTAACTATGGTTAAATACTAATAATTATAGTTAAATGAAGTAACATGTATCATTTACGGGCAAGCTTTTACCTTGTATACGGGTCATCAAATGTTACTACAATTTTAGGTTGAAATTGAAAAGGAAAAGAATGTATTTGAAGTTGTAGTTATAAAAAAAGGTATTTGAACGTGTCAATTGTATTTGGACATAAATTTCACTTGAAAATGTAGGAGTTTTGCCCGTGAGAACTTTATTTCAATTAAATACTCCTTATAGTATTAGTTATGTAACTCCAAATTCTCTATCTCAAGTTGAAGCTTAGACTTAGACGATGGAATACACTTCAAATAAAATTGATTCAGAAGTGATGGACCACACTCTTTAAACATCACCGCCTCCAACTCTGCTCTCTTCTTCTTCATGAATTGAAGCTGGTAGTATTTGAAAGGAATGTGTAAATCTAAGTTTAACCCATCGATTAAGCTTGTGAACAATTGGATAAATTTGTTTGCAAAAACTAAAAGTTTATGCATTTTGGTCCTAATTTGGTAAGATTAGCCTTGCAGACTAAAGTTTTTGAACAATTTAATAAAGAGTTGATACCCTAAAATCTCCCTACACTATTATATTTTTGTCAGTTTCCTACTTAAATTATTTGGTGTCCCCAAACCCCCTCGAACTATATTGCCCTTCATATTAAAACTTCCTCGCTGCATTCTTTGAGTTACGTCTAGTACACGCTCCTAATTGTCTAGAAATATGCCATGTAGCACTACGCGTGGTTATTTAACTCAGCCTAAAACCCGTCTAAACTATCGCTTTTTTGTCAGTTACCTACTTAAACTATCTGGTATCCCCCAAAACCCCTGAACTATATTCCCCTATATATTAAAACTCCATGATGGTCTTTTAAAAGTACGGCTGTCTAACTATATTAACTTATGGTTTGTACAAATATTTTTATATAGTTTACTCATGATATATTACTCACGAATGATTGATTAATTCTAGGAGTTTCGGCCAAAATAATATCTAATGTACTATTTTAATTTTAGGTTTAATTATGATTGTACTTTATGCTAGACTCCATTGATAAATCCTTATTTATATTCACTTTGTAGCACAATAAAAATATAAATAACGGCATATAGTATTGCATTTTTTAAAAATCATCTTATATTACATAAAAAAGATTATACAAAATTGGCCAGCAATTACATTCTCTAATTCCAGATTACATAAAGAAGATCCAAGAGATTCAACTTTATTCTCTACAAGGTGTTGAGTTTAATAAAAAGATTTAAATTGTATTCTTTCAACAATATGTGTAAGACATGAAAGAAAACTAAAACAAGAAAGAGAGTAAATCATTTCAGAGGAAACAAGAGCGGGGGAGAAGTTTTTTAAGAGGAAACCCACAAAAAAATTAGAAGAAATTAAAAGATTAAAATGTTACACAAAAAAAAAGGAGAACCACATTAATAAAAGTAAAGTAAAATCTCCTAAGATAGCAAGATACCATTTTAGTTCACTGGGATGCATTATCACAATTTACATTAAAGAAAGCCAAAAGAAAAAATAAATAAATCAAGATTTAAGAACAAAATGCGACAAAGACTAGAAATTCTTTGCTGAATGTGGCTTATAACCAATACCGGTGCAGTGAGGTATTCCAGTTGAGATTTCCGAACTTTGATGATTATCTCGTCGTATTTAAACCAGTGAGACATCAAAGTTTGACGTATACATTCTTTTCTAGCCGGAGATATAGGAAAATAGAAAGATATGGACTTTCAATCAAAAGTTTCCTTGCAAGCCGATTCCCTAGCTCCTGAATAGGTGCTGCAAATGCCACTGCTCAATCCTCCTTTTCTGATTTATTGAAAGTAGCAAGGAAAGACAAGCAAAAACTTTATTTGCTCAAGAAGCAACTGAGGAGAGAGAAAGAATAGTAAAGGAAATACAAGTAGCAGTCTCAGGTCAAAGGAATCAAGGAAGAATTTCTTCTGATATTGCGGTTACTCTTTCAAAATCTCACCCTCAAACCTAAGTATGCCATTCTCTTCATCAAGAAAGTTCGAGCATCATAGAAGCCTTGACTTCAAGCTTTACTATTCCAAGTTTGAGTATTCTTACACATACTCTGACTCTTTGACCTTTGGTTTGAAGTTGAGCTTGAATGTGAAATCTTCCAAGGCAGAGGAAATATTTTTTCAAAAATATCTCTAACTCCCCCCCCCCCCCCCCCGATTTCAACCTTGGCTTCTACTTCTTCCTTTATCATTGTAGTGCAACTTTTAGAGTACTTTGAACTAAGTTGTACTTATGGGAAGCAACACTATCTAAATCAGTAAGCTCCCAGCTATTCTCTAGTAAGCAAAGCTATACCGTACATAATCATTGCTATCTGCTTTGCATTGACATCCTATAAATCAAAACAATTCAACATTTTAAGATTTGAAAGACATAATCAAATATACCTTTGGATCCTTTGCTACTCTCGACCAAAGCTCCTTAATAATTGGGTGCTTAGGGTTTATCTTAAGCACTGCTCAAATTTCCTATAAGTCTGTGGCCATAATACACAGTCGTGAGTCACTTAATTTCCGTTTTGCCTTTCACAAGAAATTTTATATTACAATAACTTAGATGATCATGATAGTAAATGTAAGAGGTGTGTTGGATGTGGTTTAGGGTCTAAGAAGGGCCCTAGAACTAAGTCAAGTTTGGAACTAGGAAATGGATTAAAGTTTCAAATTAGTTTGCACAAGACCTGATTTTAAATGATCACAACTCCCATTATATAAAGATTTATGTGGTACACTGCCTATAAAATGAAAGACTAGTTTTCAATGCTTCAAACCATTCGTTATAGTCCTTTTTCCGGAAGGTAGTTGTGCAGCCACACATATGCGTAGCTACGCATAATAGCTACGCAACATGCATAGGTAAAAATAGAATATGGAACAAATGAGGGCTTCAAGGATTTGATTCTTGCGTAGCTACGCATGAGGCATGCGTAGGTATGCACAATCATCATTTTTTATATAAAAAGGGGCATTTTAGGAGCTCACTTCTCCCATTTAACTTAGCCGATTTTTGAGCTCCTCTCTTTTCTCTTAAGACCCCCAACTCCTCCTACCTTCAAGATGAGTAATCCCCACTAGTTTTGTATTTTATTCCATCAATTCTACCCTAGAATTAACTCAATCCACTATGAAATCATTAGATTTTCAAGAAATTTCTTCAAGAACTCAAAGGAGAGTTTTGCAAGATTTATTCCAAAAGGTAATATTATACCCTTAGACTTAGATGCATGTATTTATTATGAGTGTACAAGTATGAATTAAGTATTAGAACTTATGGAATGTTGATTGGAAGCCATACATTCTCAATTTAAATTCATAGCCATTGTAGAGATTAAAGGGTAATTATTTGATAGAATTTTATTGGTTTGGTGTGGATGGTACCGCAGATGATGAAGAAAATGGCAGCAGATCTTTGTGAAAAGTAAGGTCCACACATGAATTGTGCGGCCACAAAAGATGACTAAGAACAAAATTTCAGAGAATATGCATTCTAAGTCTCCCAGAAGTGCGGACCGCACAGGAATTGTGCGACCGCAGAAGAAGTGCTACGCGGCCGTAGATGTAATTATGCGGACCGCAGAAGAGCAAGATGCGACCGCAGTTACAATTCTGCAGACCGTAGAAAGAAGGCCCCGCGATCGCATATCAAAATTATGTGGCCGCAGACCTCCAGTTCCTACAAGTTGAAGAAATCTGTGGACCGCACATGTAATTGTGTGGCCGCAGAACCTTCCGAAAGGCATTTTTGTCCGAAAATTCTAGCCTTGTATAAATAGATGAGTTTCACAGTTTTAGGCCAACATTTGACATCAACAACTACAGTAGTCATTTTTCTTTACTTCTTTTAGTAGTTCTTTTTATATTTTGAGCTATTTTAACATAGATGTTATCATTTTAATCTTGCAATATGAGTTTAATTATCATTTCTTCTTCTTTTTCTTCAATTTCAAGCATAGGTAGCTAGATTTTCACTAAGGTTGTGACCAAACCCTAGCGTGTAAACCTTATGGGTATTTAATTTAATGCTTGTTTATGGTTGGGTGCTTATTATTTAGCCTTGTTCATGCTTTAATTTGTGGAATTAATAGTTACAAATATTAGTTCATGCCTATTTGACTTGGTCTCTACTTGAGAAAGAGAAACTTAGTCTAGGAAAATTTGGCTAACAAGAAATTGGGTCAATCGAGAGATTGATAATCCCAACTAAAGGGTTCAACCTAGAGATAGTAATAACCCGACTTAAGCTTTTATCAACCGTTTTGTGCAATACCCATTTGGAC